CAAATATTTTTTTTTGAACTAAAATTTTGCCTATATGTTTTACAAGTCCAATTTTATAATGGATTAACTAGCTATAATAAATTGAGATTGTTTTCGTACATAAATTAGATTTATAGGTTATTGTTTGGGATTCTTTTATTTCATAATTATGTTTTAGAATTTTAATTTGTGTTGCTTTTAATTAGCTTATATTAGTTTGTGTGTTAGATAAAACGTGATTTTTTTGTGTTTTTGTAGTATGCTAATTAAATTCTAAGAAAATTGTTAACGTTTTAGGCCCTGTTAAATCATTTCTAACTAATATATTGGCCTGTGATTCACAACGGGTCAATAACCATTTTAATTTTAATTTTTAAAAAAATATTAATAACATAACGAATATTTTAAGTATATTACATTTAGTTGTGGAGCCAGATTCAATAATAATGGGTCTGGATATGAAATTAAATCTAAAAGCCTTGAATATAATAATCCAATTAAATTTAACAATCTTAAGTGTAGCTACGAAGTAAGATCCAAATGGCCTTGGATCTCACTACTGAACTGGTGGATATTTTGAAGGGATTGAAGGAAAATAAAAGGGTCCCTAATCCATTACTTATTAGAGTCTCATAGGTGTCCTTTCTTTCCTTTGTCCTTTACTTGTTTGCTAAAAGTCCAAGCTTTACTGGTCGGGTGCTTGAAGATGCATGGTAATAAATGTTATTACTCTAAACTTATGAAGATTATTATCCTGTATCTCTGAGTGTTCATACTCGTTAAAATAGAAAAAATAAAAACCTTCGCTTGAGGTTTGACATACAGAGATGAGTTTGCTGATGTTCAAGGTTAAGTGTGAATCGATGTGAGGGTCTTGTGTTGAATGCTCGAGTTCTTGGGTGGAAATACTTTAAGTTAAAGCTTGAAACTTGGAGTTAAGAATAATTTAGGTTAGAAGTTGTTGTTTTGTTTCTGTTCAAATAAATGCCTGGTTTTGATTTTTAATTGTTTTGCCTTGTCTGTTTTGATGATTGGCGGAAACAGGAAGCATGCTTGTTTGTGTGTTCGGTTTTTTTTTTTTTTTTTTGTGGTAAAAATCTTGGGGGTAGATTCAAGTTAGCCGATGATGATGCCAAATAGGAGTTGGGCCACTCAGAAAATTTCAATTGCTTGTTTCATTTCACGGATTGGCGTGTTTTTAATTTGATAATGTGTGCTGAAATTTTAAGTTCTTGAGATTTGGATCATGAATAAAATTTCAGGTTCGATCTTTAGTGATATTGCATAGTTTTTTAGAGTTTTTGTGATGTAACATGGGTTTTCTCAAAGGTTCAAGACCTCATCTCTCTGATGACATGTTCATGTGTTTATTTATTTGCTTCTCACTACAAAAATGGGGGCTTCACTTGTATTTTTATGATTTCATAATAATTTTATCATATTTTATTGGATGTAGCTACGTAACT